AATATGGCCTAGAAATCCCTGTGGACTAGTTATACTTTGTACATGGATTACTTTGAGCTCAGGTGGACTTAGTAGTACTGTTTTACTGAGCATCACACACATCAATGGAAGTAGCAGTCAAAAAATCAAAGCATTCATTGCATTGGACAAATATGTCACTAATGTATCTTTTTTAGGGAGCTCTAGTGACTTAGTAATGAGTAGTTGTTCTGCCAACCCAAAAGCTTATGATTGGGATCCATCAGCTGCTCCAGGGAGAAAGATGGACACTTTTTTTTCAGTGCTTTGCCTTTGAAAACCTGCCACACTTTCAGCTATGAGTTGACTCCGATTATATGGCACAAAACAACAGCATATATAATTCTATATGCGAAGTCTTAGGACCATGACAGAACATAGACTGTACTATTTAGGGAGAAAAGGGAATTGCAGAATATAGAAAATGGAATGTGACAAATAAGCTGGGATCTATTTGAATTATATTATGTATTTTTTATGCAATTTCTTTTCTATTAAAGGGGAAGCTATCAGTTACTTTTTAGCCATTGATAAGTAAAATGTGAGATGTGATGAGCCCTGAAGTTGCACGTGTCAGCTTGGCAGAAAAGAGTGGATATGAGAAATCTTGCAGAGGCAAAAGCATAGTACTTGCTGATGAGCTGGAGTTAGGGAGAAAGAGATGGAAATTTAAATAGTTAAGGATGATGAGATTCTATCCAAACTATGATGGTTATGCTTTTACAGAGAAAATGGGAAAAAAGACTACGTAAATGTGGGAGCCGAAAGGAAATTTCATTTAGATTAGTAACAACCTGTGGCTTAGGAATAATGTATGCTATTTCATTTTCTTTAAATGGTGAATGATTTGTGATCATTGTGATGTATAACTACAGAATTATTATAAGAAGCACTTTTCTGGACATTTAAAAAGTAGTAATATTTGGTAAAGATTGATGACAGCTTGTGATTTTAAAATTACAGTGGTTTTAACACTCCAGGAGAAAGTCCATATATACATATGCTTCCATTATTTAAATTGAAAATGGTTACTCCACTGTAACATAAAACAGAGTATATTCTTACATTGTTGGAACAAAACTGAAGGTAACAAAAGTCACAGTTGACTGAAAGACCTCCAGAGTAGTAAAGATAGAATATTTAGAAGGGAGAATTTGGTAGTGACAAGTTCTTACACAAGATTAAGTTTATTACAGGCTATTCCCAGGAAGGAGGACAAGATTTGTTTTTATGCTCTTCAGTTGCATTTGTTTCTGGAGTTCCCTTGTCAATATTTAGAGAAATCTGCATAATGAGACCTATTTTGTCTATTTGTCTGCTATCACAAAGACCCTTGGGAATAAACACCTTGCACTGGCCACATCTGAGAAATGGAATGTTATTCTGTGATATAAGGTCAGTTCATTTATGAAAGTCGAAGGTATTTACACTTGGAAAGGAAGCTTTTACAAACCCAACATGGTTGAGACTTATCAAGACTTTAAAATAGAATGAAGGTTTAGTTTTTGACTGTTTTATTTATACTCCAATCAAATATCCCTGATTAGAACCTCCTATAACATCTTCTCATTAGCAAGAATACAAGAGAGAAAGGCCACAGTAATGTTATATAAAGAAATGATATTTCTTTTTCCAAAATATTTTATAAGAAAACAAAATTAAAACTCAACAAAAGTATGCATTTACATATGGAAGTTTTTTCTTATTTTGGAGTTCTGCTGGTCTAGTGGGTAAGAAATTATGCTGTCAACCCAAAGGCATACAGAATCTACCAGATTATCCATAGAAAAAGGATGGACAATCTCCTCAAGCGTGATTTATAGCATCTGAAAACCTACTGAAGTGTCAGACGTGGTAGTAGATTTCAGGTTAGTGTTGAGCTGCTAACTAAAAAGTTATCAGTTTGAACCCCTGGACCATTCCATGGGAGAAAATATTTATAGCCTTGGAAACTCACTGGAGAGTCACCATGGTTTGGAATCAACTGTCTTTACAGAAAGGTTTTGCTTTCATTAAGGGACTTTTTAATTCAAATGGTGATCTGCATTTCATTACATATCAATATTACATAGTGTGCCATGGAGTTCAACTCCTAGCAACTCTATGAACAACCAATTTTAACAGTTCTATTCCATGCAAACCTCACAATCCCCTTGCTGCAGTCACTGTGTCAAATGGTCTGGTTGAGGATCTTGCTCTCCTTTGCCATTCCTCCACCTTCCCAAGCATAATATCCCTCCCTAAGGAGTTACCTCCCCTATCAACATGTTCAAAGAATATGAGATGAAGCCTCTTTGTCCTTGACTTCAAGGAACACTCTAGTGCCTTCTTTTCCAAGACATATCTGTTTGCTCTTTTGATAATCTATGGGATCTTCTTCAACACTCTTCTGCAACAACAGAGTTCAAAGGTATAATTCTCTTCTATCATCATTGTCCAGCTCTCAGATGTATACCAAGTGACTGAAAGGACCATGGCCTGAAGCAGGTGCACCTTACACTTCAAACTGACATTATTACTCCTTAATAATTTGGACAAGCCCTTGGATACATACTTTCCCATTTGGTGGCTTAGTAGTAATGAATTGTGGTACCAACCCAAAGGTATGTGGTTTGAATCTCCCTGCTGGTCCATGGGAGAAAGATGGACAGTCTATTTACTGCCTTTGAAAACCTGCTGGAGAGGCAGTTATGAATTACTTCTGCCTTACTGGTACACAACAATAACAACAACAGTTATACCGCAAAGTATTTTTATGTTAATTATAACATTTCAAAGTTGCATTAAACTTACTTACAGACAGTAAATAAAAATTTTGAAATTAGAAAAAAAATAACCTGACATTGTGATAAGTTTTATGAATTTTTATGTAAAAATAAAACATTGATGATTCTCATTTAAAAGAATTTTCTCCTTTTTCTTTGTGCGGAAGTCTTGAATGATCTTGTAAATAGATCCTTTTTACCTGACATTTTCCTTTTGCATATTTTGTTTACATAGCATACTTCCTTAAGGGCTTTTAAAAATCAAGATTTCCCTCTAGTTGCTTAAGATACAAGAGACAAGTTAACATAGTTTAAGAAGGGCTGATTTTATAGCCCCTTGAAAACACAGCTTGACATACTGACATTAACACGCTAAAATGTGAGATCTGAGAAGTATTACCTTGACATTCTACAACAGCTTTTGTTCTATTTTGAGTCCTCAGTGCTGCTAAATGATAAAAATGTCTAATTGGCAGATTAGAGTTAAAGTTAGCCTTATTGGACTTTAATGGACTTTGAAAGTTCTTAGGACACTACTAATTATTTTACTAATATTACTGAATCTATAGTATTCATTTAGGCAGCAGAGGAGAACAGCTATACAGGCTGTTAGAAAATTAATAGCTCACCTATTCCCCTGTACAATATAGGCAATTATTTGGTGATTTTCTTGTAATTTTGGGCAATTTTAACTTTTAATTTTAAAAATTCCAGGTGAGGTCTTAGGAATGATAAGCTGTTGCTTGTGCTTAAGCTTTCATTTTTAAATATAATTATAGTCAGGATAATTACTGTATTCATTTCTGACTTTCATTCTTTAAAAATCTCTAGGCATAACTTAATTTTGTTCACCAGGGCCATTTCTCTATAGACTTTAATGACTGTGTCATGAACCTAGCATAACTTTCTTTTACAATTATAAATATGATGGAATAAGTTAAAAAAAATATTTTTTTAGTAATTCCAAATCCTTTGTTTGCCTGTGATATGTACCCAGTTCTGTGTGATTATCTGTGTGATTTTGAGTGAGTTGCTAATCTCTCTGATTTTCCACTTTTTTGACAACAGAATGACAAAACTAGAATCTACTCATACAGAAAAGATGTAGTGGGACAGTGAGATAACATACGCAAAAACTTGTGGTTAGATGGTGTTGAGCCAGTGGTAGCCAACTTAAGTAGAAACTTGTGAAAGTCTGTGCCATTTTCACGATGTCTTCTATGTTTATGCCTGTTGTTGGGGTTACTATGACAATCCCTTATCTTTAGGCTTTTTTTTTTGAGGTGGTTTTTTGCCCCATACCTTCTTATTTTCAAAGCACGATGTTCTTCTCCAAGGACTGACTCCTCCTAACAAAATAACCAAATATGTGAGACAAAGACTTACACCCCTTGCTTCTATGGAACACACGGGCAGCACATCTTCCATTTAGGTGTGTTTGTTCTATTTGTTCTTTTTGTGGTCTATGATAATGAATATTCTTCACTAGCTCTACACTTTAAAGGCATCAGCTGTTCTGTTATTCCTCGCGCAAATTCCACGTGCCTATAGCATGAGATGTTAATGTATTTATCTGAATTATTTTTTAAAAAGAAAAAGGTATTAGAGTCAATTATCTCCATTTAATCCTAATGGATTTAAGAGTTAGTGTGTGTAGAGCTTACTCTTCAATAACAAAAGTCTTAGTTTGTATTGTAATCCAATTGAATGGAACATACAAATAACTAGTTATCACTAAATTTCCTTGTTTAGAATTAATAATTTTATTGAGATATATTCAAATATAGTATTTTATGTGTTCTCCTTTAGGAAATATGTTGAGTTGAGGCAAAAACAGATGCTATGTATTATACCAAGATAATGGTTAAGTAACCAATTCCATTTTTAAACCACTTTGATCACAGCACAGGGTGTAACCAATTATGTATACCAATAATATTAGTAGTAGTAGTAGTAATGGTAATAATAATAAATCTGTATATCCCATTATTGTCAATGTGCTTTTCATCAAAATCTAGTAGTCATTATAAGTTAAATTTAAAAAAATCAGCTCTATGGATACAAGATTTTATCAAACAGCATTTGGATAGTCAGGAAAATTATGAAAATTTTTTTATTATTATATAAGAAATATGTATCTTATGAAATTAAATAAAGGTTGCTCCGTTCCAACCTATTTACTATATTCTGATTTGTTTGTTTGTTTTTTCTTCCTAGGCTACTGACGTAGATACTGGCAATTATAGTGCCATGGCCTACAGACTTATAATACCACCAATTAAAGAAGGGAAAGAAGGATTTGTGGTGGAAACATATACAGGACTTATCAAAACGGCTATGCTCTTCCATAACATGAGAAGATCTTACTTCAAGTTTCAAGTTATTGCAACTGATGACTATGGGAAGGGGTTAAGTAGCAAAGCCGATGTACTTGTAAGTAGTTAAAATTTCAGATAAAAGAGATTCATATGGTACAGTTATTAACTATGGATTAATGTTTTCAACTCAAAGATAAATTTCAATTTATTTTAAGCTTGTTTTAAAAAACATTAAAGGGAGTAAGTTTAATCCAGTTTAATAAAATGTTCAGCCTTTTAATGTTTTTACATTTGAGAGACACATAATATTTTTGATATGTGATTGTGAAAATAACATCAAAAGTATTTTATTTTTATTTAGCCTTTAAATCTAACTTTCACTATACAGTACTCTGAACATATTAGTTTAGTTTTATATAGTATTAATTTTTTAATACTTTCAGAATTATGATGCAAAACTTAAAATATATGAAATTTCTTTTTGTTATTTAAATTGCTTTTTTAAAAAATTTTAGACTTTTATAGTGGAAAAAATAACAAAACCTTTTTAAATAAAATTTGCTCTAATAGGTATTATTCTTTCAAAGTTTTCATTGATGATATTGATGATCTTTGATTTACTTATGTTTGGAAATAGCCAACAGCATTACTTTTATATTCTGCCTCTTTTCTTATGTCATTTGCACACATTACATTTCTTTAATCATAAAATGACACAATATTTAATTCAAAATATTACATATCAATATCTCTACCTGTGAGATCTCTACCAACTGGGAAGTATGCATTATTTAATATTTCTTCTGAATAATCTAGTAAAAAGTATGAGCAAAAGTATTAGAAATGTACTTTAAAAAAAAGAAATGTACTTCAGTTAAATATATAGTCAAGATTAATGTATATTTTTTTATTGTGAGAGTATAGTAAGTAGTTGGCACAGGAGAATCATCAACTGGCCTCCATTAACTCTATAAGAAAGAAGAATCCCCCCCCCCTCCACAAAACCAACAGAACCAAACCAATTCCTCTGAAGGCAGACCTGCTTCCACTCTATCACATCTTCTTCTATCAATTCCATTAACAACCATCCCAGTCAAATCAAGACTTTGTTACTTATTAGTCTACTAATTGTTGTAAATGGCCACACAGAACATACTTATATTAACAATTATGAGATTTATAAAGAAAGTTAAAGGTTTCAATTCAGGTAAGACATCAAATAAACAGTTTTTCAGACATGTTTGCTCTGTGGTTCTTGACCAATGTTACATATCTCCTTTAGTTCTGTTTCTTGTGGAGTCACTTGTTAGCTTTCCAGTAAGTCTAGACACAGGTCCTCAGCTCTTACTCCTTGGGACTGCTCTTTCAGTTCAACTCTGTCTCATATCTGCCTTTAATTCTTCACCACCTCTGTTGCTGTTGCTACTGTTTCTATTGATCTTGCTCCGTCTTCAACTAGACGCTCTGTTCCAAAAGAACACATTGCACTTTTTACTTCTTTCTGAGGATAATAAAAGTTTCATTTTCTAAAGTTGAATATGTTCTAGTTAAGTCTGACAGGATGACAAAATTTATCAATCCTCACATCCATAGTGTACACATGTTATTTGTGCATCCTCACCCCAAAAGCACTATTTACCTCATTCAAATTATTAGCCTAACTCAATCATGTGGGGAGCTGTAGTGACATAGTCATAAGTAACTTGCACTGATAACCCAAAACTTCTAAGGCTCTGAGAGTTGAACTTCACCAGAGACTCCCCAGTAGAAAAATGGGCTCTCATTCCTGTTACTCTTTAGAGACTCAGATATATTTGACACAGGGTTACTATGAGTAAGAACCAACTTATATTCAGTGTGTTTTGCATTTGACTTAGTCATATGGTAAGAGTCAAAGCTAAACATTAGAAAAGTAATTTTGAACAATTAGTTTAGTGTACCACATTTACCATGCTTTACATTAAATTTTAAAATGCCCATGGTACTTGTTTAGTACTCAAGACCTGTTTAAACTTTGTATACATTCAAGCGGTAATGATCATATTTTTAATTTTCTGATTGTAGTAAAGACCCATCACCATAATAGACTAGATATAAAGGTCACAGCAGTCTTGCCGCAACATTCTTTTTGTTTTTTATCAGCAAGTGATGGAAAAAAGATTTGTATTTGCTATCATAAAACAACAGGACTAATATAAAATATAATTTTAGATAATCAATGTATAAAATCTTTTAAAACCACTTTTGCTAGGTAGGCATGTAAGAACTTAAAAATCCAAACCAAACCAAATAGTTGTGGAGTTACTACTTTAAGGAATTACTACAAATCAAACTACCGTTCCCAGCTACTTCTGTAAGCACCAATCTAGAAAGGAAACTCTCATACACACACCCCACGTGCAATTTTATATTAAAAATATCCACTTCAATCTATAGTGCGTGCTGATGTATATAAAATTCCAACTTGGGTGAGATCAGCAGGCATGGAGGCATGTTTTCAGTTCCGAGTATAGCTGAAGAGAGAGAGACTAAATTAATATTAAAAATAATGCACACAACAAATGTCAATCATGGAGAACATTGTGCTCAGTAAACCAATTCAGTCTCATAAGGACAAAAGTATAAGACTATTAATGTGAAAACAGAAGGATAACATATGGGTGCTCAAGAGGAGAAGGGATGGGAGCAGAGGGGTGAGTATGGGCAGGAAGGAAAGAACATTGCTGTTCTTTTTCTAACAAAATTTTTACATTGTGTTATATTGTAATAAAAAATAAAAAAATAAGTAAAAACAACCCAGAGGTTAATCAGTATTGACTCCTAGTCAGAGCTGGACAATATGGTGGCTGGAAGATAAGGAAAAAAATCTGGCAGGGACCTGAAAAGACAGGGTAATGGTGGACATAATCTAAAGGTGATTAATTTTATAAGACATAATGTATGAGAATGATTGTATGAAACATGTCAGTGAAGGAAAGTGTGAAATAAAAATCCACATAAAAATAAACTTAGTAAAAAATTTGAAGCGATGTTGACGTACATTTATTGTAAGGTTAAGATGTGTAAAACTAAATAAGATAAGGTTGTTCCTAGTATTTAATATGTACATATTAGGTGACTTATAGCTGGCCATCCAGTGGGTTTAGGAAAGCTGTAAATTGCATGGAAAGAGATTGTCTATCTATCTCCATGGATCCCTTGTTCAATTTAAACTTCCAGAGAGGTACCGCCATTGGATAAGCAGTAAAACTCCCTATGTACTATGCCGCCAGAGCTTCCCAGAGAGAGAGAGTTTTTGATGGTGATTTAAGCTCATATATATAAAGTCACATGACTAAATATAATTAAAATATTATAAAAATCAACATGAAGAAAATATACCTATTTAGAACATGTATAAACAATGTGATGTTTGTGGGTTTCTAATTTGGACTTAATAAACTACTATGTGGTAACTAAAAAGTACACCTTTAAAATAATAAAAATCAACACAGTGGAATCACAATAAGATCATAATATATTTATTATGATGATAAATCATAATATATGTCCTTTTAATTATCCTTCAAATAAAAATGATAAATCACTGTCTCTTCGCATAGTATGAAACAAATAATAAGGTTCCTTTCCTTTAAAATCATATAACAATGTCTGAACAAAATCTAATTTTTTTTCCAGGTTTCTGTTGTCAACCAATTGGATATGCAAGTCATTGTTTCTAATGTACCCCCTACTCTGGTGGAAAAAAAAATAGAAGATCTGACAGAGTAATGTATTTTATTTTTACTTTATATTCATACAAATATTATTTCTATTTATTTTAATCATTGTAATGTTTAGAACAAGAATATATCTTAAAGATATTGAAATGCAGATTACTCTTTTTTTCCTAAATATTTAAAATACATAGGACTCTGAGGACATTTTCAAGTAAAAATGAAAATTAGAAGTGGAAGGTTATTATTTGGAATTCTTCAACAGATACATCAATAAACACATAAAAAGGTATACATTAGGAAATGCATATAAGACACATAGTTTGAATATGTAGCTTGATTTTGTAACCCCCAAAAAAATAAAGTAACAGAAAGAAATAGGTATACCTATTGTTCAACTATCAACTATCTAATTAGCTGACATTTCATATTCATGACAATTATTTTTTAAAAATCTCTTTTATGCTTTAATAATGTATGTCAGTAAGAAAGAGTATTACTAAGATGCTTAAAGGTTGATGTTCACTTGGCTAGACATGATTCTCAATAGTTTGGTATTTATGGAATACAGACTGTATACAATGATATAGTCATTCTCTATTATTTGAAGTGATATGATCATCTTATTGCTGATTTTCACCTAGTAATTTGGTCCTGTCAACAAGTGGAGAAGAACAGATGCATTTTCTCCTTTTCTCCCCCCTCTCAAGTGGTATGTCAAAGAGACTAAAGCATATTATAAGCCATAATTTTTAGAGGAAATAAAAAATCAATACTTTTATCATTCAAAGCTGCTGATAATTTCAAACTGCTGACCTTGGGCCATCATGACTCTCTCTGTGTGTGTGTGTGTGTGTGTGTGTGTGTGTGTGTGTGTGTGTGGAGACAGAGAGAGAGAGAGAGAGAATGTGAATGCTCTGGTTATTTAATGGGTAAGAAATTGATGGTAGACAGCAACAATCACCTGTAAATTGCCAACACAATTCAGAACCAACCTTTAAATGACCCTCCTTTGGGTTTTCAGAGGCAATTAATCACACAGGAGAAGATTGCCCATCCTTTGATCAAAAAACAGCTGGTGGACTCAAACCACATGCCTTTGGGATTGCAGGACAGCTTCTTGGCCGTAGGCCACCAGAGATACACAGTTCAAATCCATCAACTGTTCCTTGGGAGAAAGGTGGGAGTCTTCTTCCATGTGATTTATTTCCTCTGAAAACCCACTGGAGGGTCAGCTGTGAGTTGGTTCTAACTCGATGGTACACAACAATAAAGAGAAAGAGAGGGAGTCTTTTTTTAGGGAGTTCTGGTGGCATAATCTATAGGGGATTGTGCTGCTAACCCAAAAGTCTTACCTCTTTGGTGGTTCTGATCCACAAGTGGGTCCTTGAGGAAAGATGAACAAACAACCTGTGTTAGTTACAACCTCAGAAGTATCTCTCAAGTGTCAGCTGAGAGTCAGTTCCCACTTGATAAGCATGCATAGTAGTCAGTTTAATGCTTCTTTATATAGAAATCTAGATTTAAGGTATGCATAAACTTTGTTGTACTACCAATCCAAAGGCAGGCAGTTCAAATTCACCAACTAAGTAGTGGAGAAAGTTGGTCAATCTCCTCTGTATATCTCTATTTGTATTGTTGTTGTTTGCCATTAAGTTGGAAATGACCCATATCTGACCCATCAGAAAGTTTTTAGAAGCAGTAAATCCCACAGGAGGAGATTGATCATCTTTAGAGTAGCTGATTGATTTGAACCATGTAAGTTTGAGATATCAGTGTAGCTTCTTACTACTAGGCCAATCACTTTTTAACTCATGAAATATGTCTATTTCCCTCTGTCTCTTTAACAATGAATACTGGCAATGGCTTAGGGTTATTGTTTTCTTAGACATAGTTGTGATTGTTTATTCTTATTGTTCTCTATTCTTCTGATGTTAACAAAAATGAGTATAATGTCATTACCATTTTATGCCTAACTAGTCTAATCTAGCTTGTCTCTCTCTCTCTGTGTGTGTGTGTGTGTGTGTGTGTTGTGAATTTGACAACTATCACCTATTACTGTGAATTTGCCTTACTCTGGCAAAATATTTCTACTTCTCAATTGCCAGAGATGCTTCAGAGAATCAGATAACTAACCTTTTAAGAATTAAGTGTCAAATAAAATACAACAGGCCTTGATTAATTCAAGCATGGTGTTCCTATAAGAAAAGCATGAGTGCCTTGAGACAGTTATTTAGTACTTCATAAATATAACCTTTCAATGCCACATGAAACATCCAATCAACAGTGCTTATCAACATTTATTAAGGGAATAGAATAGCAATCATACTGTATCTTATTCTCTACATCAAAAAGTGATGTGTAAAAGAAAAAAAATAATGTGTAAACTTTGAGCCCTTCTTAAAATACTAGCTCATTTTACATGAGTAAAATATTTGAAATTATGCCTACATGTGTTTTAAGTGATTTAATATCACCTATTCAGAAGGCATTTCATTGATTACACCATTCAGAAGAGACCACTATACATCTTGAACCTCTAACTTTTATACTACTTGATGTTTCTTTTTAGAACTATGCAATGTTTTATTATGTGAAAATTTCCTACTAGATAAACTCTATTAGGATAAGAAATGAAAGATATTTTGTTCTCAGCTGTAACTCAATTTATTTCCTCTGAAAACCCACTGAAGGGTCAGCTGTGAGTTGGTTCTAACTCGATGATGTTGTTTGTTTGTTGTTTGGTGCCTTCAAGTCATAGATGACTCATAGCAACCCTATGAATGAGCGGCCTGAGCACTGTTCGTACATAGAGTTTTCGGAGGCAAGCCATTTCGGAAGTGGATGCTGCTCCTGCTTCCAGGCTTGATTTAGTCGGGAAGCTCCAGCCAACACTGTTCACCGTGGGTACCCATTACCACGATTGGCACATCACTGTCACAGTCTTCAGCATCGCAGCAACCATGAGTTACCTCTGTACAGCAACACACAAACCAGTGCTATACCACCTAGAAGAATGTTTGACAGGAAGACAATTTGAACCTAGCCAAGGGCCGCAGATGAAAATCAACCACCTTCAGCTTGGTAGCATAACTTCCTTTCCATTAGGCCAACGTAGCTCTCTCTTTGTCGTTGTCGTTGGTATTGTTGTTTGGTGCTGTCGAGTCATAGACGACTTGGTGGCATAATCTGTAGGTGATTGTGCTGCTAACCCAAAAGTCTTACCTTCTTAAAATAATTTTAAAGAATTTAAAAAATTTTGT